TGACCCCTTGCAGCAGTGCAGCGGCTCCTATCTGGGGCAGGGCAGGGCAGCACGGCTGCAGGGGCGCTTTGTTCACTCATTTGCCCAAAACAGCCTGTGCGCGTTGAACAGCAGCTCCCTCCCTCCTCAAAGAGGCGTTAGCATCCAACCGTGGCTCAGCAAGGCTTCGGTTTGTTTTCCAGGCTGGCTGATGAATTCCAATCAAACTTAAAAATAATTACTTAGCTGTTAAGATCAATAGGTGATGGGGCAGCTGATTAACTCCAAAGCAGGCCCAATTAATGGTGTTCTTTAGTGACCATCTATTTAATAACCAAGTCATCGCTGTGTGCATTCAGGAAGCCTTTGATTCCCATGAATGTACTGTCTGGGGTGATACAATAACGTAAAAGGGATTTGCTTCCTATGCAATTGCAATCTCACCCTCATTAGAGAGGCTCTTCTTTGAAGTGTGACCGGAGGCTTTCAGGGGCTGGGGAGGAGGAGGATTAAGAGCATGAGCCCATGACAGTTTTATCTTGAACTTTTTCCATTCCTCCAGCCCTGCAAGGCGGGGGAGTGCCCTGTTCACTCAGGCTGCTCCAAGAAGTCGCCTTCTAGGATAGGGAATTCCTGCCATACAGAAGAAATAATAAAGACCATGTCTCAGACCTCCCTGGGCACTGCTTAGCTGCCTTTGTCTGCTGCTTACCCCTTGGGAAGGGGTAAGGGACACCGCCCCGACCTCTTATAGACCCACACACTTACTTCCCCACCACCTCTCTCCTTGCTCAGATTTGCAGTCAGACAACCGCCAGTGGTTAGGCGACAATAGCAATATTGATTACTACTTAGAACAAAAGGAAACTCATACAAGTGCTCAAGACCTTATACCAGATCTGATATACTCTGTATTATGTTCTGGGTTTACTGTTAATAATGTATGGAAGAGCTTTTCACATTGACAATAGTCATTTTTTAACTGGGTCTTTATTTTTCCCACTACCCCGTGCTATGACGTTCAGAGTCGCAACAGGTGCTTCTTCACTAGAAAAAGAAGTGTGCTCCTAGCACACGCGCGCTGTGATGCTGGGGTAGGTAACACAAGATAAAGCCCCAGGGGACACGAGGCAGGTGGTTGTTGGAAACACTCGAGCAGATCCACTTGGGCACAAGTTATCAGGGTCAAGGGAAGCCGAGCTCCCCACAGTCCAAGTGCTTTATCTTTGCTAGGATTTTTCCCCATGTTAGTTTGCTCATCTTCGTTAACACAAGATAAGAACACACATTTTATCCTGGTGAAGGCAGTGCAGTAGCTCTCAACATCGTTAGAGTCAAGGCGCCCTTCGGAAAACGCCAGCCGTGGCTTTCACTCCTTTCCTGATCGCGGAAAGCCGTGCGGTATTTCTTCTCTTGCAAAGAGCTCAGAGCCCAACACGTCAGGAGGGTTTTGGCTCTGTGGATTCCTGTTTGCAGTCGTGATCTCGTGCATCACGTGTAGTTGTTTGCACAGCTGGCAGTGCCGATGCTGTGCGGCTCCCCACGGCACCCCCAAAAGGATCGCGCAGCGCCCCGGTTGAGAGCCATGGCTCTAGAGGCGTTATGGCTGCAGTCGCGGCGGTGAAGAGAGCAGGAGGGACAGACGTGGAGTGTGCTGACGAGTTGGACGCGGCAGCTGTGAGGGGCTGCTCCCACACCCCCCACACGTGTTCTTCCGAGTGGCTCCGGGGGGGGTCCCTGGGTCTTGCTTCTGTTGGTTCATTGAGCCTGAGCGAGCCACTGTAAGGAGCTCTTGCAAAACCAAGTGCACTCATCAAGGCGCGCCGTAACGACAAGGACGTGCTTGCCATTGACCCCGGCTCATGCTTCATGCTGCAGACCGGAGCGGGGAGACAAAAGGTCATCGCCATGCCCTTTCCCCCTCCTCCAAGTGGGCTCCTGAGAGGGGCACGAAGCAGTAGAGCAGCAGCTAGGGGAAAAAACCCAGCATTATCCTGTCATTTCAAAATGCAATTAAGTTCTTCCAGTCAGTCAAGGGGAGCGATTTAAGGAGAGAGAGGAGAAAAATGGTTTTTCTGTAGCAGGGCAGCCTGTCGCATGTAATTTAAGTTGCCTGAAGAGCTACAATGCCTCATGCAAGTCCTATTAGCTTCACTAAATGCAGCGTATTGATTTTTTGCCAGTGTACTTTGCTGTGTGCTTCAAACTGGGAGGACGCGGGCGCCGTTAAGGAGCTCTGTGTCAACATCCAAGCAGCATTCGATGCAGAGGGAGCGAGGAGGGGAGTGCTCGTGAACTCCGAGGTCGTTGCTGCGAGCTGTATAAATGTTAAACAAGTCTTTATCAGCGAGGCGAGAGTGCTATTCATTTCAATTACGCATTGTAATGTGCAGATATTTAATAATCCTCCGAGGGCTGAGTTTGCTGCTGCTCTTTCAGGTTCAATAGACAAAACACATCGAGTTCAACGCCCTGGGCCAGTACAGGAGCTGGGGTAAAACTGCCCATCCCGCGGCGGCTTCCTGGGCCCCGGGGCCAAGCGGATTTCTGTGGGCCGCGGCAGGATCTCACCCAGGCTGAGCGTGCAGGGGAAGCAGCCTGAACGGAGCGGGGGGCTGGCGTCACGCCCTGCCTCCTCGTGCGATGCACACTCTGCGGCAGACCCAGTGTCTGACCAGACCACATCACACGCAGAGGGGTGAGAGGGCCGTGCAGTCTTGCCCCAGCTCCTGTGCTGGCCCAGCTTCGGCCCAGACCCCGGGCTGAAGGTTTGGCACAAGCCTCCGGGTGTTTTTGCAAAGGACACAGTGTGCACGTTTGCCCGTCTACTCCATCGTGTGTGGCAGAGGCTGCCTGAAGTCTGCTCCTCCCGGCACAAACTTTCCTGCATCCTCTTCCTCTGGCAAGAAGCAATTCAACCACGGGAGGAAGCAGCTGGGCTGGTCCTGCTTGGAGCCAGGTGTGGCCCAACCCTCGTTTTCCACGATTCAGTGATCCTAACAGACAAGTGGCGTGGTAGGAAGGAGACCTGTCGCTCATACCAACAGGCTGGTGTTATGTGCTGAGCCCTGAGTAGAAGCCTGGCCTAGCCTGCACTACCGACCCCGGGGGTGTCATCCTCCTCGGCCCCGCTCTGCAACACCCCCTGCCACTACCACGGCTGCTGCTGTTGCCACGAGGGCTGCCTGGCTCCTGCAGAGAAGCACACGCCTTGCAGATCTCGCAGTCGGAGGTCCCGTCCCTGCACAGATTTGCGTCCTTGCACCAACGTGTCACCAGCGAGTCACCCCAGAGCCCTGGGCCACTGCCAAAAGCCTTCCCCGAACACTGGCTTTCCCAAGCTGGCCCTCAGGCCGGCCAGGACGCACGTTTCAGGTGCTCGTAGGCCGGGTTTTGACGAGCGACAGCGTCCATACCAGCGGTTGCAGCGTGCAGAGCCGGCACACGTCGCTCGCGTAGCGTGTTGGTACTCCCCTTCCCCATCCATCACCAGCTCTGCTGTGCAGCATTTGGCAAGGTGGCTGCGTGATGCAGTGGGCTAATTAGTGCATCCACCAACCATATGGAGGGCTGAACTTGGACTTCCCTGAGTGCACTCACATCAATCATGAATGAAATGGCTGCTCTAGACATGCACACACACTTGTGGCTGCAACAGCGTGCCTGGCTGTGAAATGAAGGGTGCGATTGCAACCTGTGTCATCTCATCACACCCAGGATTGCTTCAAGCTCACCCGCTTGCATGTGGTAGGAGCTGCTCGGACGCAGCCAGTGCGTATTTCCGGGGGGTCTGCAGGGGGAGGTTGAAACCTGGGCTGCTCCAGCTGCTGCTAACGTGCCCTGCACGCTCACCTCTGCCTTACAGGAGCCAGACGGGTGTCTGAGGGTCCCACCTGCGCACGCTTCCACGCACCTGTCTCACACGAAGGCACCGGCTGTCACTGCCTTTGGTTACAGCCTGCATAACAGACAGCTCAAAGCGGTGAACTTAACCGCTGAGCATCACGTTTAAAACGTAATGCAAAGAAAACACCTCATTTCTTTCCATCCTAACAGATTTTTGAATGAGCAAATGAAGATAAAAATTCATATAATATGACAGTCTGGAAAACACGCCGTCCTTCTTCTCATAGGATGTCTGCTGTTAGTGGAATAGCGTCCTTATTCGTCTTTTTTTTTCTTCTTAGCTGTTGCAAAATATAGCAGATTCCTCACTAATGTTTCTGCACATCTGTTTGTGTAGCAGCGTTAAGCTTTTCTGACAGTTATACGTATCTCAGAAGGGATACAGGCTCCCTGGTGATGGACAGAAATATAATGAGGGACGAAAGCAGGAAAGAGAAACATGCTCGCAGAAACAGCCCCTCTCCCTCTCATTGGGTAGCAATGCTCAGAGATAAGCAGCATTCAGGCTGGAAACCAAGTGATTTAACAGACATGTTGATAGCCTGTCACAAGAGCAACTTCTGCAGGGCATCGAGGCCGGATGAAGCCGGATGCATTGCTGTGACATGTATTTGTAGTGAGCTGGAAGTCCTCGTGTGCCGCGTACACGCAGCACCGGGCACGAGGAGGGTCCCGAGAGCCGCATCAGTCCATGTGGTTTATTATCCGAGGAGTTAAGGCCTCGAGGAACCGCCTCATGCCCCTGTGCTGCCGTTGGGCGGGGGAGGATTGGAGGTGGTGCTGGCTAACACTTGCTGATGAGCACAAAATAATTGGAGATCCTCCAGTGGAAAAAATGCTACTAAAAGGTGTAAAGTGCTGTCAGCAGCGGTTAGGATTGTACCAGCTGTGGGACCCGGTCTCTAAATCCCATCCCCGTCCTTTCCCCGATAGCGGGCCCTCCCCGACCGCAGCCGTCGCTCCCGAGCGCAGTCCCGCGTGGTTTTGTTCTCTGCTGCGGCTGGATCTCCCGGTACAACAGTCACGATCTGAATGTTTCTGTCTCCCGACAAGCAAAGATTAATCCATTTTTGGGGGGCGGGTGGGGCTTGGGGGGCACATTGCTGTCGTTCCAGAAATCCAAGATCTCCACGTTTGAAAAAATGTGGGCTTTCATGAGCAGCAAGCCGTCCGCCCTCGTTAAAAATAACGAGGAAGGAATCCAGAGAACCCTCACGGCTGATTATGCCCTGCTAATGGAGTCGACCACGATTGAATATATCACACAAAGGAATTGCAACCTGACCCAGATTGGCGGGCTAATTGATTCCAAGGGCTACGGCATAGGAACTCCCATGGGTGAGTGACAACGTGCAGTTTGTATACACAGCCTGGGAGCGGAGCTACTTAGCATGCAGGCAACAGATGGGATCCAGCTCCTGGTTCCCAGGCGGGTGTTTCCGTGCAGCAAAGCCCGCGGTGTCTGCCTGGTGAACGGGAGCGTGACCGGCCCTGCTGCGAGGACTCGCGCTCTCTGCAGCGGCCGAGTCCCGTCCGTCCTACTTGTGCGCTCCGTTCCCCCGTTCTTCTGCAGGTTCGCCGTACCGGGACAAGATCACCATCGCCATCCTGCAGCTCCAGGAGGAAGACAAGCTGCACATCTTGAAAGAGAAGTGGTGGCGAGGGAACGGCTGCCCGGAGGAGGAGAACAAGGAGGCCAGCGCCCTGGGGATACACAACATCGGGGGGATTTTCATCGTCCTCGCGGCCGGCCTGGTGCTCTCCGTCTTCGTGGCCATGGTCGAGTTTCTCTACAAGCTGCGCAAAACGGCAGAGCGTGAGCAGGTATGGGTTTTCGTGGTCTCCCTGCCCCGGGGCAAAGGTGCTGGCTGATCCGCGGTGGGTCCACGGAGGCTGGGGCCGTGCCCAGGGGAGAGCACGGTGCTGCTCTCTCTAGTCCATGGGACCTGGATGTCTTGACACCCCGAGTCTCGCAGGGCTTTGCCTCCAGGAGGGGTCTGCAGGTTGTAGCTGCCGAGGGGCAATGCTGCTCCCCTGCCAGCAGGCAGCCTTGCAGGCCATGCAGGGGATTCAGCCCATGGCAGAGCAGGGTCTTCCACCCCGGGGCCTGCTTGGCCTCTTTCTAAGTGCCCAGCGGGGTTGCATCGTAGTGCGTGTGTGTGCCTATTGATCAGACTTGCACCCTCAGAAACTGGGGCAGGCTGACAAAGAGCAAACCCACCAGCAAACCAACCGCTAGCCAGGCACGCGTTAGTCCCAAAGGCCAGGGCTCGGCGGGCTGTAGGCGAGCTCCTGCCCCAGGGGGTATCCCTGGCACCGCTGTCTATGATCCTGTAGCTCCGGCCAGGCAGCAAAATGCCCCCGCATGCAGGGAGAGCCGGCAAACGGCTTGCTTGAGCCCGATGGACTGAGCCCGCGTGCATGCCCCTGGCAGGAGCGGCGCCCCGAGCCCGCGGCCCCCGTGTCCCCGAACGCGTTGCTGAGAGTGCTTCTGCTTTGCCCGCAGCGCTCCTTCTGCAGCGCCATGGCGGACGAGATCCGGCTCTCGCTCACCTGCCAGCGGAGGGTCAAACACAAACCCCAGCCCCCCGTCATGGTGAAGACTGACGCGGTGATCAACATGCACACGTTCAATGACCGGCGGCTACCGGGCAAGGACAACCTGGCGTGCAACACCGGATTGACGCCTGTGTTCCCGTAGGGCTCGGGGAGCCGGGACGGGACGCCCCCTCGACGAGGGGAGAAGGGATACAAGTACATTCACAACAAGCCTGGTTTGGTTCAGTTTCAAGAACAAGGCCTTTAAGACACAACTCCATCAGTCACCGGACTAGGGACGGGAACTGCAACGCATGGGCTGTAACCGGAGCGGGGGTGTTGGGGGGCTCTGGTTTTGCTTGGGGGGCAGTTTGGGGGTTTGGCTTCATTTTCTTTTCTTAGAAAAGGCTTTGGCCCTACACGCCTCATGGAGACCAAACCCTGATGTTTGCACACACGAAGGCGAGCGGGAATCAAGCCAAACGGACCCGCAGTGGATAACGAGGACCCCCCTCCCACAAACCCAAGGCTTCCTTTAGCATGGCAATAAAAAAGACCCGTTTTTGTTCGTGCCGGCGTGGAACGACGGACCGTCCGCGGGAGCACCCGTTCCAAGCAGACACACAGCACACGGCATGTCCAGGAAGAGGAAAAGAAGAAGAACCGGCGGTCAAAGCCGCCCCCTTCTCTCAGCGCCGCTCGCCGTGACCCCTTACCTCAGCGCTGCGCGGGCTGTGCGTGGCCAGTTGCAGGAAGGCCACGCGCGCGTGCCGGGAGAAGGCCAAAGGGGTCTTGAGATATGTCAGAGATAACAAGGGGCCGAGATCTGGATCCGCGGCCCCAGGGGAAGGGACGTGGGGAGCTGCGCCCAGTGGGAAGCGACACGCGCTCCCGGGTGCCCGGTCTCCGCACGCTGCCCACGGCGGGCTGCGGCCCCTTCCCCGCTGGGGCCACATGCAGCTCCCCGTCTGCCACAAAGGAGCGCACGGTGCTGGTGAGCCTGCACACTCACTCCCACGTGAACAAGAAGGGAAGTGCGAGAGCTGTCTCCAGAAAGCCAGTGCCACTTGCACCAACAAACCGGACCGCGGTGAATAATCGGCCGTTTTGCGTTGGTGTTCACATCAGGCGGCGGCGGCGGCAGTGGGGGAGGAGCGGTTGGTTCGGTATAAAACGAGCGTCTTGTTTGGGATATTCCCAGGACGTCCCAGGTTTCTACACAAGCAGGCCGTGCCGCTTGCCCCTGCCCCGCACGCGGCATTGCCCCTCGGGTCGTGGGTGGAGGGAAGAAAGGTTAAAACACCGTCCCAGGAGCCCACCCCGCTGCGCACCCCACGCGAGTTCAGTCCTGTTGCCAGAGGCCTGTGTGCTGTTTGGGAGGTACATCTCCGATTTTGTCCTCGGGCAGGTCACTGTTGCATTTCCTTCTCCCGGGCCATGTCCGCAAGCAGAGACAGGCGACAGAGAGACTTTCCTGCCAGGCTGCGGGGAAGAGTGCCAAAAGCACCGTCAGCTTTCCTTGAACTAGGTTAGGGTGCAAACCCAAATGCCAGAGCAGGGGAAGATGTCGTCCCACGTGGGTAACGTGCCGGGATAGCAATCTGCCGCAGGGACCCACGGCCGCCCGCGCCTTCAAGCCTGGCTCCAGACCAGCCCCTGGTCCGCGCCGGGCACGCGCCATCTCTGCAGCCGTGGGCTTCGCCTGGCCGCTCTCAACCGAGCCAGGGCTTCCTGACGCAGCAGAAGCTGGCTGCCAAACCGACCCAATTTGCTGTCCTCGAATCCAAAAACACTTTGTAGAGAGCTTGCCCGAGCCCAGAGGAATGGAGCTGCTTGTAGCTGGTTTAAGACACTTAATAGTTTTCCCTCTCCTGGATTTTCCCCCTTTTTTACTTTTTTTAGCTTCCAAAGCAGTGATTAGATTGGGCTCAGAAGCAGCAAATGTGCAGCGCTGCTGTTTTGCCCTGGAAAACTAAGCTTCTTTGGCTTGGGTTTCATTTTCCCTGCAATAAAACGAAGGTCAAAAAAAGCAGTAACACAGGAGCCTGGAAGGAAAGATGCTAATCTGTATTGTCTTCCCCCCAGGTAAAACACACGCAGAAAATTTACTGTGATTTTCATATTTTTCTTTTTTGTAGAAGCCATTAGAAATGAGAGGGGAAAGGTGGCAGGCTCCTCTCAGCCGGCTGCTCATAAGAAAGGTGGCAATTTCCGAAATCCCGCTCCCGCCCGCCGGGATGGACGGAGGCGTCCGTGGAGCCTGGGCTCTGGGGCCCGCGCGGAGAAGACAAGCCCTCCCCAAAGCCACGCGCGGCTCTAGTGCAGCCTGGCAGACGACAGCTGCCGTTCCCGGCGGCAGGCGAGGACGCAGCAGCCCTTCTCGTTTGCCACCGTAGGCCCGAACGCGCGTTCGCATTTCCAGCCTCGCTCCAGTTGAGTTTAGACAACTCCTGTTCGTCTTTCAAAGAAACGGCTGACTTCAGATTCTGGGTTTCACGCGCAGAGCTTGCATCCCTGCGGCAACATCGTCTCTCTCGCTGAAACGATGAGAAAGGAAGAGCTATATCGAGAGCAGAAGGTGGCCAGGAAAACACACCTCCCTTTTCCAAGCTAGCAACTTCCCTCTGCACCTCTGAGCAAACGGCCCCGCTGCTCTGACACGCATTTCTTACATTTCCTCGGGGCTTTCCAAGCTGCAGGAAACAGTAGGTTTCAAAATCCAAGGGGAAGTTAAAAGCAAAGCCCGAAATCTTCTGGGTACCCACTTCTCTCTTTAAATGCTCAGAGCTGCAGAGAGGTAACAAAGCACTGGACAAAGCAGCTTCCCTTGTACTCAGAATATTTTTTTAAATAAATAAATAAATGTAACAACCGCTATTTATTGATCACCAACACGAGGCGAGCGCAGTGTCACTCTCCGCTGGTCCAGATTTGCAGGTGACCATCTGGTTGTTGCCAGCAAGAGAAATCCCTGCAGATTAACCTTTTCTCTCCTAACTCGACAACTGCAGTAAATTGGCCATGAAATAGTTACCTATTACACACCTCCAACCTGTGGCGTTACGTTAAAAATCCCGTTCATTAAAACGCGCGACACAGCAGCAAGCAAATGCGCCGCGCAGCTGAAAATAACACATGGGAAAGCAGAGGAAATATCCAAAAGCCAAACCTAGGTCGGACCGTGCATGAGAGACCAAAGCAAACAGGACCACGGCTAAGCAGCCCTGTCGGTGTGTGTTGCACACGCAGCAGACCCGGGCAGCACGCTGCTCTGGCGGGGTGGACAGCAGAAGGGTGCGGGCAGGAATATCCGGGGGCTGAGACGGGCGAGTGCCCGGGAAGCACTTGCTGTCACCTGGATGAATCTGGCACGAGACAGGTGCTGGATGGAGAGGGACCTCCCTGGCACAGGTAACAGAGGGCAGACCTCCATCTGCACTGACAGCAGAGAGGACGGGTGCTGTCCCAGGCCTAACCAGGGAGGAGGATTCCCCTGGATCACATCCTCATCCCCACCCAAGCCTGAGGCCGGCTTCTGGCAGTCACGGCAGGGAGAGGAAGACAAAGAGCAGAGTGTACGGTTGTTCCCAGCATATGCTGCAGACACACGTCTGCTCTGATAAATGAAATGCAGATTATCAGCGTGCCATCGCATCCCCTGCCGCCTGGAAACCCGCTTGCAACAGCAGCCAGGGCAGAGATCACATCCTCTTCTCTGCTGCTCCAAACGCTCCCGGGTGGGGACCGCGGTGGGCTCCCTTGCCCCTGCTCTGCTCACTGCACTGAGCAGCTTGCAACTGCAGTGTCCTCGGACTGTCCCGGCTGCCTCCCAGTGTCACGGATGAGATCCCCTGCCTTCCCGAGCTAGGCACGTCCCTGCCCAGATACTCGGCGTGAGCTGATGTTGCTCCACCGACTTCAGGGAGTGGCAGCAGGTTGCTGTTCTGCGTTAGGCTGGTCCGTTTCCAGCAGAGTTTAGGGATCGGTAATACAGTGTCCAACCTCCGTCGTGCTGCAGCAGCCCTGCTGAAATCGCTTTCAAGTTACTCCGCCTTTGCATGGCCGTAACTGGGATCAGAAGCCAGCCCAATAGGCTGCACAAACGCTCGGCGTGCATCAGCTGTTCACACCAGGTTGCCTGCACAATTGGACACACCAGTGTCTAACTGGGGATGAGCGGCAGCGAACTGAGAGCTCAGCAGAGATTTCACAGACATCTTTGGGATATGTAGAAATGTCAATCCAAAGGAAAGCCGCTTTGCAAGCCATGTTGCAACACAGGATCTTGCTGTCTGAAGACCACGGATAGGCCTCCACCATGTTTAAAATGCACCTCTGCAAATTCTGGAGGGGGGAAAGCAGCTTTTGGCTTCTAAGTTCAGCAAATGTGGGCTTCTACTTTGCTAAAAATGCTGCTGTCTCAGTTCGCAGTTGCTATCTCTTACTGTATTTGCTCTTCCCTTTTTGACCTCTATTCAGACCAACAGAGTAACACGAGGGTGGGCTTGTGTTTTGGGTGAGAGCGGGGTATACCCTGAGCCTAGGCTCCAGGAAAGCAGACCGGATATACAAGGAGGGGGAGGTATTCGTCTTTCCAAGGTGCGCAACTGAGTCGAGCCCTCCGGCAGGTGATTGTGGCAGGAGAGTCGGCCAGGACTGAGCCCCACGGTGTCTCTTGGGGCAGACATCAACCCAGAGCCACGCGTCCTGCACCGCCTGGCTGCTGCCCGGCAGGCCCGGCGATGGTCCTGCAGCACCGGTGTCCTGGCAAAGGCAGCAGCCCCGCGCGACGTGCCGACCTGCCGTGCGAGACCGAGTCGAGCCCACACGCGTGTTGTTGAACTTCCCCGCAGCTCCCCTGCCCTGGGAAGCGCCCGGCGGGCCGCGGCGAGCGAGCTGCCGGGATGGGCCGGATCCCCGCGCGCTGCTGGCGATGCCCTCCGCCGCCTAGCCCTTCCTTTGACATTTCTCAAGAAAATAAAAGACAAAACGACAACAGCAAAACCGGTCTCCGTGACATTCAGGGGATTTTCCTTTGTGGACATGCAGAATTTCTATGAATATAGGTTTTTTGTAAACATTTTGTAACGATTTTGGTTTCATAGTAACTGTGTTACTTGCGGATCATTCGAGGAGGACGTAAATACAATTTCCAAAAAAACAAAAACAAAAAAAAGAGAGGCAGAAAAAAAATTCTGATTATTTTCCTTTTTAAGACACTGTGATATATCAAAAGTGCACAGTTTGCTGTATGAGGTAATATGGTTTTAAATTTTAAATAAAAAAACCCACATTTCTAGAAAACAAAGACATGGTGGCCCCCTTTGTTTAAGGCTGCTGCTTCTCCTGGCTGACACGGGAGCCGCTCAGCGCTTCCCCTCACCTGCCCAGATAAGCATCCAGACATCCCCGAACAAAGCCGGGCAATCACCCAGCACCAACCCAATATTCTCTCTCACAAAGGTCCCCCCACCGCCCCGACGGAGGCAGCAGCGGGCTCCATGGAAACCAGGAGGTTTCTCCTCGTGCATGCGAGCGGGCACCGCAACGGGGGAGACGAGGAGAGCCGCAGATTGCTACCGAACAGGTGGGGAGAGGACGGCAGGCCAAGCCACACAACCGCGTGCGTGCGAGTGAGCGAGCGAGCGACGCCGAGACCTGGCGCTCGGTGCCTCTTGCCCTGCGTTTGGGCCGGGGGTGATGACTGATGAAGGGAAATACTTTAGGCTCCGTTGTGCCACCGTCTTGTGGGCTCTGCAGAGGGCCGGGGCGTGGTTAGAGCAGCCTCGGGGTTGCTCTGCTCCCTGCTGCATTTCCCAGGGAAACAAAGACAGCCTTTCGGCTACGCTCCCAAACCGCCCCGGGAGCAGGGCCCATGCAAACCCTCCCACTAGCCAGGCTGGGGAGCTTCCCTCTTGCAAGCAGCCCGAATCGGGGGCCTTTCGGGCTGGCGCGGCTCTGCGGGTCGCTCCAGTCAGTTATTCTGCGCCCCGAGTTGGGAGCCTTTCCACGAGACACCAGAGCAGCATGTCGCTGC